TTTCGAGATTCCAGTTCCAAGAGGAAACCACCCCTCAAATATTACAATATTTTTTATTTAAGAAACGGTCAAGTTTCCGAAAAAAACGCCTAAACATATAGTATATTTTATTTCGTTTTTTTACATATTTTAAGATTTTTTAAAAATGTATACAGGGTGTTTCGAAAAATCTGGTCATTCATTAATCATGATCCTGCTGCTTAAAGCACTTGACGTGAAAAGCTGATTTTTAGAAAACAGACTGACATTAGGGTGTAGAGGTTCGAATATAAGGGATTTTTCAAAATTCGAATTCTAAGGGGGTGAAACTATCCCTAAAATATTAAAATATTTTTTATTTAAAAACCGGTGAGTTTTTCGGAATAACTCTTAAACACGTATATTTTATTTTGTTGTTTTACATATTTTTTATAAATTTATACAGGGTGTTTCATAAAATTTGACCATTGAGTAATCACGATTTTGCTTAAACTGCTTGGCGTTTAAAGCTGATTTTTGGCCCACGGATTGGCTGTGGTATGTAGAGGTTCGATAAGGAGGGATTTCTCGAATCTCAAATTTCAAGAGGGTGAAAACGCCCCTCAAATATTACAATATTTGTTATTTAAAAAACGCTTAGTCTTTCGGGAAAACGCTTGGACAAGCATAATTTATTTGTTTTTTTTACATATTTTGAAATTTTTTAAAAAATCATACAGGGTGTTCCAAAAAGTTGGGTAATTTCTTAACCACGATTCTGGTTAAACTGCTTGACGTAAAAAGCTTATTTTTGGCAAACAGATTTTTCGAAAGTCAAATTCCAACGAGATGAAACTACCCCTCAAATATTACCAAGTTATATAATAATATCGCCATATTGTTTTTTCTCGTGCTGACATAAATGTGAAAATTTTTATCCAGTTTGTATGTTAATGGAAATTCTTGCTTTGCTTTATCACCACCATAACAAAAGATTAATTCGACGCGAACGAAGTCGGTGGTACACGCTAGTTATGATATATACAAGGTCCATCAATAGTGCGTCGGGCATCTGTAGGTCCTATAATAAAAAAGTTAGGAACTTTGTTTAAGTGCAAACCTAAAGTATGTATTAGGATGTATTTTTTAAACGAGTCGATTAAATAAAAATTTATATTAGACCTTTTTTAAATAACGTTCTATTTCCTAAAAGAAAATGTATTGATTTTTACAAAACACTGATTTTTTGAAACGCAATAAAATTCCAAAAACAAAATATTAGATCTTTCCTGCGTTTTCTGTCTTGTAAATTTAATCTACTACCTGTATTGCCATATTATCAATAAATTATGTTTTCTACATAAAAACTAAAAAAAAATCCAATTTTTTTTCAAAAAATTCCAAATTTTCAATTTATTTTTTGCGAAAAAAACTCGTAATATAATATATACTCGTAGGTATCTGGAGTGGAAATATACTACCCCTAAAAATATTTGCACTTATTTAAGACTCGCCCTGTATAAATATATAAAAATATTAAAAGTTTATAGATTCCGAACTATAGAATTATAGTAATACAACTATAAAATACTGTCTGATGTCTACCGCTTTCTGACATGGAAAAGTCAATCAGAGAGCAGACTAACCCCTCAATACAAAAAAAGATAGTTATCGCCCGGATAATCCCTTTCTCCAGATTATCCTCCCCTCTCGTCCTTATCCAGGAAATCAATTTGCACGGATTTCCTGAGGAAACCGCTTGGAGATTTTCTGATATTATTCTGTCGATAGATACGTTATTGAGTTAGATCGACTGTGGCGAAACACCCACGTTCATCCCGTTATCTCCATAGATCATTCTCCTACTAATTAATTTTAGAGGGAAAGTTTCCGCACTAGGCCTCAGTGTCACGCACAAACGCGCAGACAAGTTGAATTTAATAGCCTTGAAACTACAGGGTGCCTCAATATTCCGTGGATATAGAACTACTGCGTATTTTTGGAATCAAAATAAGTTCAAAGTGCTTCGTTTGTCCGTTAGAATTTTAACTTCTCCATCATTGAACTTAAAAAAACACAATTTTTAAGATATTTCAATAACCATGGACATAAACTACTGCGTATTTTTGGAATCAAAGTTCCTTGAACATAATTTACCCCTTTTTTTATAAGTAAACGTAGTACATAAGTATATCCGTTAGAGGGCACTAGATTTTAAAAAAATAAACACATTTTTCAAGATATTTTAAGAACCGATTTGTTCCGATTTTAATGAGAATTGGGGTGCCTATATTTTGCTAAGCGCTTTAACATTTGACTTTGAAAAAAATCAAGAAAAAGTACGGGAAGGGTGAAAACTAGGGTTTCCGGAACCGGAACCGTTTTTCGGAACCGGAAATTTCGGTACCACGCCTCTAAGGAACCGGGATTTCCCGTTTTTTTCGGTACTTTCAGTACTGGCTAATTTTTTGTTCAATGATGGCACATTTCATCAATCAGCAAGCAAAGAATGGTTTTCAAAAATAAAACCGAGAGAAATTATGTGTTTTTTAATGAAAATAATTATTAAATAATCAGCCAAAAAAATGCAAATTTCTATAAAAACAACATAAAATATAACTAATATATTGAGAAACATTGTACTTAATAATAAAATTACATATCTAAACTTCAATAATTGTTAATAAACATTATAGGAACTTCAAAAGAACTTCAGAAGTAAGAACAATAAGAAATAACATCACTATTTATTTAGAAGAGTTTGATTTCGACCGCTAGAAAGTATCAATTAACTTTCGCATGTAACAAAAAATATTTTTTTAATTCTTACTGTTAACGAGTAAAAAAAAATTCGATACCGAAGTACCGAAAGAACCGGAAATTTTTATTTCTAGTCCGGGTTCTTTGATGGCTCAAAGTAACCGGAAAGTTATGATACTTTCGAGACCCGGTTTTTTTTCGGATTTCCCGGTTCTGAAGCCTAATCAACACAAATAAACACAAGTGAAGGAAAAACGAAAAAAATATAGAAAACTTAAAATTTACACCGAACAACATAAACCGACTTATAACTAAATTTGAAAAAAAACATTTTCAATTAAAAATTCAAATGCCTATAAAAACATAACATAAAATATAACTAATATATTGAGCAACATTATACTTAATAATAAAATAACACATCTAAACTTCCTTAATAATTGTTAATAAATATTATAAAAACTTCAAAATAACTTTAGAAGTAAGAACAATAAGAGATAATATCACTATTTATTTAGAAAGGTTTGATTTCGACCGCTAGAAAGTATCAATGAACTGTCGCACGTAACAAAAAATAATTTCATTACATTTTATTAACGAGTAAAAAAAATCGGTAGGTACCAAAAGTACCGAAAGAACCGGGAATTTTTATTTCTAGTCCGGGTTCTTTGATGGTTTAAAAGAACGGGAAATACATGATACTTTCGAAACCGGGATTTCCCGGTTCTGAAGCCTAATCAACACAAATAAACACAAGTGAAGGAAAAACAAAAAAAATTTAGAAAACATTATACTTAGTAATAAAATAACACATCTAAACTTCCATAATAATTGTTAATAAACATTATTGAAACTTCAAAATAACTTCAGAAGTAAGAACAATAAGAGATAACATCACTATTTATTTAGAAAGGTTTGAGAAAGTATCAATGAACTTTCGCATGTAACAAAAAATAATTTAATTACATTTTATTAACGAGTAAAGAAAATCGGTACCGAAAGTACCGGGAATTCTCGGTTCTGAACCCTAGTGAAAACTAACCCCACCCCTACATAAATTTTAGTAGAAATATTTTCCTACTCCACCGACCACTGATTTTTTTTGTTAAAATGGTCCTCATAGTATTTACCATATTTTTGTCTCTCTTGTAAAAAACGCCACATCTCATAGTTTTTGAGAAAACAATTATTACGAATTTTTTTAATCAAAATAAGTTTATTGGCGACAGTTTACCTCTATATAAAAGTGCTTTGTTTGTCAGTTAGAGGGCATCAATGAAAAATAAACCCGAACGTTAATTACCTAATTTAAAATTTATGAAGCTTATTGTCAAGTGTAATTTGTAATACTAACATAAAATCCCATATTTTCGCCAACTAGATTATTGCCACATAATAGATTTTACGCACCAATACATAGTTTGCTGTGACAAGAAAGATTTTTTAGAAGTCAGAAGTCAAAATGACATTCCTCGCAAATTTTGAATTATAATTAGTGGAAAAGTTAAAATTTTGTTAACTTTTTCCACTAATTTAATCTTACTACCGCTAATTTTGACGTGATCACTTATATTGATATTAGAGAAACAAACTTTTACGCTAATTATAACCACTAATTTATTCCACTAATATGGAGGTTCTGAATGAAGCTTAATTTTGATTCCAAAAATATGCAGTAGTTCTATATCCACGAAATATTGAAACACCGTATATATTAAAAAAAATCAATTGTAGTTCCTCCCTACCATTTATGTTCAAAATTTAAACAGTATCCAAATTCATATGATAATTTTGGATTCCTTAAAAAAAATTAAAAGTATGACAAATCGCAATAAAAAATTAATAAAATTAAGTGTATTAAAAAATAGAATTGATCATTTATCTTTGTTATAAAACTTTACTTCTCAAGGCAATAGATAATTAGAGGAAAACTTGTAATTTTACACCAAATTATTTAAATCAATTAAAAAGTTATCATTCTTTATATAGAAGAGTATAAAGTTTTTCTTATAATAATAGCGTTAAGACTGCAAAAAGTAACATAAAAATTTGCGAACAAAATTAATTTTCAAATCGAAAATATTTTCAACATTATTGGAATTTAAAATATTTTTTACAAAAAAAATAAAAACAATACTCTACCAAATATAATTACATAAACAAATCCAATAGAAGTTTTAATTTTATTATATTTTTAGAAATATCTGTGAAAAATTGTTAAACCTTTTTTAATTCAACTAGTATACTCCTAAAAAAAAATTTTAAAAAATTATTGTACTTACTTTGAAACAGAAAGAGCAAAATTAAAAGTCCCTTAGTGACCATCATCTTCGCCGAAGAAGACACACTTAAAAAAACTTCACATGATTCACTCAATTAAAAATCTGATTTTCCCCTCATCACAAGAACAAAATGGCACAGAATAATAATTCATAGCATCACCTCAGTGCTACGGATTCGATACACGATAAAATTTCGGCCGAAAGTAAGTAATAATTCGCGATTTTCTTTTCAAAGTCGCGTATTATCCGACAGTAAGCGACAGCAACCCCACCTGGACGGATGTCGGCGGGAAACTAAACGGTTAGATGCGCCAAAATTTGGCGATGGCGCAAAGTTGGCTAGCGGGGAACAGCTGCCAACGCGCAATCTCGCTAATATTTAGCAGCAATTATTAACAAACATATTCAAAATATTTCTTTTTTACAAATGCAAACTACTACAATATAAAAATAACATTCAATAATCAAACCAAGAATCTAAGGAATATTGCCACTAAAAACCGAAATCATTTTAGCACAAAGATCTATGAGGCAACGTATTCTTGGAATAACAAGAAGGGGCCGCAAAAGGGAATAGTGGAAAAGATAGAAAACCAGGTAAGGGATGTGATCTATTAAATTATCCATCGAATATCAATAGACATATTACTTAACAAAAATGAACTGACGAAACATCTCTCAGCCTATCAAAACCAAAAAGTTACATAATAATATAAATAAATCCAATACCAGGTGCGTCTCAAAAGTGGCTCACCTCTATAACTTTTTTATTTTTTCACATAAAAAACCGGGATTTGGTATTTTAGTTTTCGGTCACTTCCTGTTTCACCGGAAATGACTACAAGTTTTGATTTTTAAATGGCACTCTCGGTATTTTTTACTATATTCGATAGAAAAATTTGACACTCTGAATAGACTCTGAATGACACTCTGAATGACATTTTTGACATTTTCGCATATGATTTATTTGAAATTGTAACGTGCGGTTCATAACCACAATTTGACTCAAAATACCAAGTGTGTAGTACCAAATTATTCGTAAGAAAATGCTTTTTCCAAATAAGCTAATGAGCTCGTGCCAGTTAAAAATATTCAGATATGATTTAAAATACGATTTGGGCATCTTTTAACCGGTCAGGACAAGACACGAAAAGCATTAGACGATCAAATATATTTTTCCAAGGCTCCTTGATTAAAAATTGCTGTTTATTCATAGTTTTTCACAGCCATGGCATTCTAGATTAAAATTTAAAATACGATGTTTTTTTAAGCGAAAATGCGAGTGTCATTTTCTATCGAAAGCCGGTCCCAGACACTACGTGCATTTGGCGAATATTCGGTATTGGAGCTTATTCGCGTAGCGTTTGGGAGGTTTGGTTTAGACGAAGATTCGTACTTCGTCATTTTCCCGGCGGTTGTCGGTAAACTGGCACGAATCAAAGGAGCCCGTAGTGCCGCGCGGCGTAGTCAACTTCGGAATTACTCCCAGACGCTACGGCTATTTGTTAATGTGTTTTTTTTTGTTTTAGCGGCGCACAATTATTACAATATTTGTCATTGGACGCAATTTTACAAATAACGTAGCGTGTGGGAAGGTGGCCGAAGCCGCAGTACATAATTCGAATGTTCACACATTCGCCAAATGTACGTAGTATCCGAGACCGGCTGAATAAAATAAATAAATACCGAAGGTGCTATTTAAAAATAAAAAATTATAGTAATTTCCGGTAAAACAGGAAGTGACCGAAAACAATTATTTAATAAGTCAATCAATCCTAATTTATGCCATATACTAAAACACCAAATCTCGTTTATAGCGGTGAGCTACTTTTGGGACGTTTTTTTTCATTGAAAAATAATAAGAAAGCCATACAATCAAACATATTTAAGTAGCAATAAATGACTGAGCCTTCATACTATAACTTCTAGCAGATTATTACATTAGAAATAAGAGAATAGGTAACATCATAGTGAAATTAATTAAATTGGCTGCATATAAAGGCGTGCTTGCAGCTTCATATTAAATGGAACAGCAAAATTTTCTCTTTGATATGTAAATGCAACAGAACTATCCAGTTTACTCAATTGAAGATATTGCTTTGTTCAAAGGCAATGTAAGTTTTAGTTTTAAACTGTTGCCAGTATTTAAACGAATTCTTTTCGAAATACAACTTAATATTGACTTTATTATCATTTTCTATTATTTTTTTCACAGAGGTATAGATATTTTTTATTTTTTTCTTATTTATTTTGACTTTCTTCTTCTTACAGTGCCATACTCTATATAGAGCGTCGGCTACCTCTCGCATGAACTTGTGATGTGTGTCATCAGTGTTTCACAAGTACACGGGACCTACAGTTTATCGCCGAATCCGAACGGCACTATATTTGAGAGGCTGTACAAGGCAAATATACTCAAGGTGGTTTGCCATTGCCTTCCTTGAGGTGGCGGCTCGTTGGTCGCTCTATTTAGATAAATAAATAATTTTATTTAAATAAATAAAGCGACCGTACTGGCTGGGGATCGAACCCAGTACCTTCCGCTCCGCAGATCGACACACTTACGCTGGAGCTACGGCCGGCCACATTTTGACTTTATTATTCATTTATATTTTAAAACTTGTGTATGAATGAAAATGCAGAATATATTTTATTATATCAGTGTCGTCACATAACATTATTCTACATATTTATACAGGGTGTTTCAAAAAACTCATGCGATCTCTCGTAGGGAGATTCCTCAAGTAAAAATAAAATTTATTTTTCAACATGGGTCCGATTCTGCTGGGTTTCGTAGTTACAAGTGGTTAAAGGCTTCAGATTTTTTCGATTTATTCTAATTTTCTTCCAAGTGTTTTTAGCGATTCGAATGAAATTTGGAGAGTAAAAGTTACTATAAGTGCTACATATTTTAATGCTAAAAAAGTGTCGACAGATTCACCAGGGACGTATGTGTGGGTTATCACTGAAATATTTTTCTAAAGAAAACATCTACGCCACTGACTCTTTTGCCTCTTATTGGCAAAATTGTATAGGCCATTTAATGCCAATTAAAATTTGTATCTTGAGATTTTGTCCATTGCAATCTCCTCCATGATATAAACGCAAATTTATTAATCACAATTAAAAAATAAAATTAAAAATAATAAAGTATTTATTTAATGTAATTTATTACTATATTTTATTAAAATTTTCAACACTGATGTGCAGCAAATTCTCCTAAAAACTAATGGTATTTAAAATAATTACAAAAGGCTTATTTTTTTAAACGTTTTCTGTAGCTTTAAAACTATGCATTTTTGCACCCATGTTTATAGAAGCATTTTTTCATATTTTTTGATGAAGAGTCTATGACTACTTATTTAACTTTTTGGTATATTAATGACATTAAAAAATTTTGAAAGTTGCTATTAGAATTGGATTAAGACAGATTAATTAAATTGCGTTAAAGGGTATAGCCGGATTAATATGGGAAATCTGCCCCGCGGCTTTTTTAACTCACACTCGGGGGATCAATTTGGTGGCGAATCAAATTAATTCACCTAAATTTTTAGCTCGTTAACTCAAACGGTTTTCGATATTTTCAAAAGAACCTGTTTTTTCAATTTTATTTTTATAGTAAAATTCAAAATTAATTAATGATGTGTTTTTTCTAATTTTTAAAAGTCTAAGACATGAAAAAATAATATGATCATGATTCTTAAACGAAAAGCCGATTTTAGCGGAGGAAAAAAAATTAAAATCTTCATTTTTTTAACCTTTGTCAAATATGTCACTTACTAACGATCGTCAGAAAATGTTTTTTATACTCCGTTACACTCAGGAATTTTTTGAAGTGGTGGAACAATATTAAAAAAAATTAAAAACCCATTTTTTTCCAAAATCTTTTTTTTTTAAATCTTCTCGGAGCCATTTTTTTAATAATCTTTATGTTTATTTCTGGCAAGAATGTATTTTTAATGAAAAAATATTTTCTACTCACTTTTTAAAACTAAACAAAAATAAAAAAAAAAGTTTTTAATTTTTTTCTAATTTTTTTCATATTGTTCCACCTCTTCAAAAAATTTTAAAAAATTCCTGAGTGTAACGGAGTATAAAAGATATTTTCTGACGATTTTTAGTGAGTGGCATATTTCACAAAGGTTAAAGAAATGAAGATTTTAATTTTCTTTCCTCCGCTAAAAATCGGCTTTTCGTTTAAAAATCATGATCATATTATTTTTTCATATCTTAGACTTCTAAGAATTAGAAAAAATCATCATTAATTAATTTTCAATTTTACTATAAAATTTAGGTAAATTATTTTGATTCGACACCAAAGTGATCCCCTGAGTGCGAGTCAAAAAAGCCGCGAGGGCAGATTTGTGAAAAAAGTGACAAAAGTCCTTGGTGAGTATGTCGACACTTTTTTAGCATCAAAATATGTAGCACGTATATAGTCTATAAAATGAATAACTTTGAATTTTGACCGTTATTTTTTACCAACATGGCAAATATAAAATCCCTCTGTCAAAAAAGTTACTGATATTCTTTAAACTGAGTGCCTGAACGAATCAGATAGGTAACACTTTTTACTTTCGTGAAATAGAAAGGGAAAATAATAAAACAAGTGACAGTTCTTCCTCTTCTTGCAAAAAACCAACACAAAATGGCATAATTGCCAAATGTAAAATGTCATCAGCTTTTGACATTTCTAAATATCAGACCAATGCCGTCTCTAATAGAACAGCCTCGGAGCGAGATTGATGACGTCACGCTAGTTAGATACTACGGATTAATAAATATGTTGTAGAATACATGGAAAACATGTATTCATGATACGTTGTTATTGATACATGTTCATTCATAAACATTGTATTTTAAAAATTATATAGTTTACATTTTTGTATTTATAGTAATAAATACTTTGGCAAATAAACTATGAACCACACAATAGCAGCAAATGTTTTACAATATACAAATAATGAGTAAGTACATCAAATAATGGATAAAATATAAAATATATTTTAAATTTTGGGGTTTGAAAATCGATCTAATTGAACAAAAAACATTCAATATCTATTAATAGTTAGTGATATATTATTATTTGCATTCACAAAATTTATATGTATATTTTGCAAGTATCAATGTTTGAAAAATTATATTTGCCAATAATACAATATCATAGAAAAAAAGGCGTCAGCGATGGCTATGAAATAAAGATCGCTGTAATTTTATATGTAAAATTATTCTAAAATTTTTGATTTTCTTGGGATTTAGGTTCGGGAAAAAC